CATCAGATCCTTTGGGAACAGAGTTACAGACAGTTGTAAGCTGCTATGTGGGTGCTGGGGAAACCCAAGTCCTCTGCAAGAACAGGTGCTCTTAACCACTGAGCTATCATCTCCAGCCCCAGATAGCTTTGACTTTAATTTTCTGAAGGGCTGGAACCCAGCTGTGGTTATGGGACCGGAACTCAACAGCAGTGCAAGCTGTGGGGCCACTCAACACCGGGCTACTCATCCCTCCACAGATGTGCCCTTGTTCATGCTTCATCTATGTACTTTCTGTTATCACACATTCTTCATTTTCACTCAGAAGCTGAACCCACCCTGTAAGAGGTGGACTGGCCACAATTCACTCACTATTCTTGTCTGGTGCTGACATTTAGCTTGTCTTTACTTGTGTGTGTGTGTGTGTGTGTGTGTGTGTGTGTGTGTGTGTGTGTGCGCGTGTGTGCGCGCGCAGAAACCTTCCTCTGTATTTTCAGACATCTTTGAAAACATCAAGAGAATTGGTATTATTCAAAGGTCTTAAACATTCTCACAAAGACCAAATCAATGATGCCATCATGAATGAGCACTCTCATTTCATTAGGACTGAGAGGTGACGGGTCTCTCGCTCACACACATGTTCATGAATACGTACAAATGCACACACAGGTGTACACACTTAGATTAGCTTGAGTTAAATAGTCCCCATTCTGTTCTGCTTCATCACACCTGAGGTTGAACGTTCTGACTTTTAGCTGTACCTCTTTGGAAGAATTCTGTCCTGCCATCTCCTGGAGTCTGCATTTCCTACAGAGTTTCATGAGGCAGCACTAACAGACAATCTCAGAAAACAATCTCCAAATGTCAGAAAGCAATTTATTAAAAAAAACCAACCCAAATATTAAGGCACAAAAATACAATTTTTCAAACAAAGTCCTTTAAATTGCATTCTATATTCAAAGAAATTTCTCCCAAATAATAATTTAACCTTTTTAAATAGACAGTATATTTTTAACCTCTAAATTTTTCTCCCCAAAGAATGAATGTTTTCCTAGTTCTAAAGTACTTAATACAGTATCAAGTTCCTGTCCTATAACATACACTTCCTTAAAAATCTAGGTTTGTCACTTATATACATTTGTATGCTCAGAATTTCATATATTAAACTTCCTCTGATAGGTGTAAGGCTTGGTGTTTTGTATTGCTAACTGCATGCTGTCAATCACACACAGACATGAGTATCAGAACAGGAGACAAAACCTAGCAAGTCTCTCTCAGCTTCAGTCATAGACAGCCAGGTCAACAGCCCCAAATCTCCTTCAAAATGGGCATATAAATCAACTTTGTCTATACACTTCAAGCCTAATCTTGACATTATAGTAGTCTGAACATGATGTGCCATAATCCAGAGGGAGAGGTGGCACTTTCCACAGGATAGGAAAAGTTAAAAGACACGAACAAAATCCAAAAAACAAACAGAAAAGCATGGGGACATCCTACCATCTCCCAAGCTTACAATGTCCATCTCTTGTTTCTTAATCGAAATATTAATAACTTCCTCAGAAGGCACATGTTTAAATATTAACCTAATTCAAATCATGAAAAATGTCTCAAGCAAACTTCATACATCATCAAAATCTAACATGAACCGTCTAACATGATATCTTGAGCACAATACAGAAGCCTTATCCTCACAATGCTCGATTAAAAGAGAGGCCCATCCAACAGCATCCTGAACAAACTGGGCTGGGCACCGGGACAGTCCCAAGACGGACAGTCTGGAGACTCAGGGCAGATGGGGAAGGAGGCTGAGGAGCTGCAAGGCGGCCCTGGGGGACCTCCCAGTCCTTGTGAACTGCACTGACAGTTCAGGGACACATGCTAGGCTAAGAAGGCCCCCCAAGAAATACTCAACTCAGGCCCTGAACATTAGCACCTGCTCAATTACCACTAAAAGCAATACACACCACATGCACCCTTCCAAAATATTTCTAGAGAGGTCGTTAAGATGAAACTCCACTCTCTGTAAAAGGGAAAAAAAAGGGTCAATTCAACCCCCAACCAAGCCAAAAGCAACAACAACCGGCCTCCCCGGTTTTTGCTGGTTTGGTTTTAAAAAAAACAACGAAGGGGGGGCAAAAACAATTCCCCCGCCAACAAACACCACCAACCACCAACACAACCACAACCTACTCAAGGCAGAGCGCCTGCAGGCAAACGGCCTCAACCCCAGAGGCAACACCACGAAAGACAAAGGCAAGAAAGACAAAGGGAAGCAGGCCTGCAATCTTAAGATTCACAAATCTAACATCAGCCTGGGCCACAGCAACATCCTGCAAACCCCACCCCTGCAAGGGCATCTTCAGTTCTCAGACAACTGGGTCAGAAGGTGGACTATGCCAAAGCCAAAACAGACAAGCACACAGGGAACAGAGTGGACAGGAGCCCATCACTATGGTGGAAAATGGCAGGAGCAATGGACCCAGCATGGCTGAACTGGCCCCTCTCCCCTGGGAAGCGCCAGGAAGCAGTGAGTCTGTGAACCGGCCTTCCTCCTCCAGCTCTGCCAACACTGCACAGTTTCCCAGTGCTCACTAGGGGAACACGGTTTCAGAGATACAACTTCAGAACACATCTCTACCAACCCTCTGAAATGAGTACGCAGGAAATCAACTCAGAGAGTAGACTTTTGAAAGAAAGGTTTGGTTGCTGTGTCACAGTGAGAATCACTGCAGGTTATGGTGAAGTGCTCCTCATCAGATTTTCATGTTTTCTCAATTATTCCAAGTTGTTCTAATTCACAAAGCCAGAAGTTTTCCAGAGAAAAGCCATAAGACCCTGCCTTTCATTACTAAAAGTCCACTAGCCTGGTATCTTTGGTCATGAAAGGAGCATTCATTCACATTTTCATCACACTACATTCAAGTGCCTTTCAAGTCTAGAACATTCTATATTTAAAAATATTAGAATAGAAACTTTCAATCATACATTATGAACATAATTTAACAAAACAAGGTGTAAAATATGGTTGAGGGCTGGTTAATTACATGTTGATGCATGGTATAATTAGATGTTTATCACAGAACAGAAACACCGAGAATGTGCAAGTCCCCACGAGACTCACAAGGAACAGCGCACCGAGGGGCTGGAAGAAAGTGCTTTAGGGGAGCCACATGGCCAGGGGTCACTGCGGAATTAGCAGCAGCATGTGTACCCGTGGCCTGCAAGTCTTTGGACATGCCCTCAGACATCTCTGTGCACTCATGTTCCCGAGCTCAGACTCCACGACGTGCAGTGCATGGTGGTATTTACAAATAAAAGCTCTGTGTACACCGACAGAGGGGACAAGCGTCAACGGATGAGTGTCCCCTGTTCCAACAGTAAGTCCCGTCAGTGTAAAAATCGACTAAAATTATCGCTACAAAAGATGAACACTGCTGTGGACCACTCAGGAGACTCGGTCCCGAAGGTGAGAGGGAGGAGGAGAATTCAGAGATTCTTTTCTTTTTTTGTCTTTTTTTGTTTTTGCTGTCTGTGTGTTTTTGGAGACAGAGTCTCACTATGTAGTTCTCTCTGGTTGTCCTGGAACTAGACCAGGCTGGCCTTGAACTCACAGAGACTTGACTGCCAGGCATGTGCCAGCACACCCAGCTACAGAATCTTTGTTTTGCAGAAAACCGAGACCACAAATCCGAATCTCTGTGGCTGTCACCTAACACGCATCTGTGCACACATCATTAAGACTTATCAGATTATTTCCAAATTCAGGCAACACAATGGCAACTAAACTGACTGAGTCAGTTTTAAAGATGGCTTTATGAGGGTGGCAGACCCTCCCACACCTGAATTCTTTATCTGCATACACAGCCCTCCAAGACAATACAGTAAAACATGTATCCTAGCGAAGCCGTCAGTTTTGATGAGACAGGCTTTTCCCATCACTCGACTGCAGGTCCCAGTCACATTATCTTTTCTGAAGAGAACATTTTTTCAGCTATTTCAGATCTGGTCATAATTTCCTAGGGGGAAAAAAAAAAGGTTAAGTGTCAATTGTTGGGGCTATATCCAGAACTACCAAAATGTTCTAATCTTACAAGTTACTACATTTAATCTTTTAATAGACCTAACTCTGGGGAAGTATCAGATAAGATAAAACCATGGCCCCCATACTCTCTAATACAATAAGTCAAATATTAGCCAAGGTTAGAAAAGGTCAGCTTCCTTCTACCTACAACTGAGTTTAGGTTCTCTGTGAGAGGCAGAACCAGAGCTAACAGGGACCTTACGCAAGAGACTTGTCTCATGTTACTGGACCCAAGAAGTTACTTATCATGTCAAACGATGAAGTGCACTGAAGAGCCGCCCAGCCACCCCTGGGGCTGTAGATCCCAGTCTGTCCTGGGGCAAGCCCTCCTCCACCGTCACCAAGGAGCACAGCGCTACGTCCCAGCCTCTTTCCTTCCAGCTCTGATGCTCGCCCACCCGCCACCACAGTGCACACCACCTGCTAACTGCCACCGCCTCTGTGCGAAGGCTCATCATTGACCCTTGAATCCACACACTGAAGATGTGCCCTGCCTTGGGCTACCCTGCAATGTCTAGTTGACCAAAAACTAACTCCCCCACAAAACCTTTATTGAAATGTCATGCTTAGTAAGTAAAGCTGGAAAGAAACTATTCCAATAAATTATCCACATGTGTCAGAAGCTAAATAATGGATACACGAGGCCTTAAAAATCAGACTTTCAAACAAAAATCTCACGAAAAGCCTCTTCCCTTCATTTACACCAAGCATCTTTCATCCTGCTTCTGCCTACATTGAAACTTAGCCCACAATCCTTCACACTTAAGCCAGCGCTGTGTCCTTCTGTGCCCTGTGCTAAGCTGGTAATTGCTTCAAAAGGTTATTTTCAGAATTAACTTCTAAAATACACTGTGAAAATGGAAACAGCTCTAAGGAAATAAGCAGAAGTAGATTTACCTCATCTGAGTCCACTAACACTGGGAGAGCTCTGAAACAAGAGAGACAAGAACAGTGAATTCCACAAGAACTCTACAGCCAGTGCTGTGCGGGCGGGGAGGAGGGGGGGGAATCGGCAGGTATGGGGTTTAGGGGACTGGCAGTGTTCTGCCTTCAGATGACAGAAAGGGACTCATTTAAAAACTGCATTGACATCTTCCTAGGTGTATGCAATTTCCAGAATGTGTGTTCCTTTGAAAATGTGCAGTCTAAATTAACAGAAATATTTTAAAACTCTGAACTTTAACTGGAAACAGGCTAGTACAAGGGCAACCCTTCTACACGTGGGGCGGCTGGTTAAAAACTCACAGCAGTATTCAAACACAACCACCCACTCCCTATTTACTTGGCTATTTTTTCACTTTAACAATTGGCTGGGTATCTGCCACTTAACTAGAAAACTCAAATTTCGTGCCTTTGTGAAAATGAGGAGAGATAAGCACCACATTATCAAGGGTACTATTTGTTTTTTTACAGAAAACATTTGTTTGGAGATGTAGTTATTTACTGTATGTATTAGGTGTGGGCGTGGCACACAGGTGTGGGCGTCAGAGGGCTACTCAGGGGCCAGCTCTCTCTCTCCTTAACTCACTGCCTTTGCCTGATGTGCCAGACACAAACACACCTAAAATTCCCAGTACTTAGGGATGAAATGTAAAAAAAACTGGAAGCTGGGGAAAAAAAGCAAATACATAAAATATAAAACTACAGTGACACAAAACGAAGTCCACATAACATGCAGGGGTGAGAACTCAAGTAGACTCCTTCTAAAGTCTTGAAAGGTCGGGATGGGGAGACGACTCAATGGGAAAGTACCCACCAACATGACCTGATTAGATCACTGGGCCCAGCGGAAGGGAGGGCACCAATGTCTACAACTTGTCACCTGACTGCTGTGGATATCGTTCTGTATAAATAAAACACTGATTGGCCAGTGGCCAGGCAGAAAGTATAGGTGGGACAAGGAGAGAGGAGAATTCTGGAAGTGGAAGGCTGGGTCAGAGAGACACTGCCAGCCGCCGCCATGACAAGCAGCATGTGAAGACACCGGTAAGCCACGAGCCACGTGGCAAGGTATAGATTTATAGAAATGGGTTAATTTAAGATATAAGGACAGTTAGCAAGAAGCCTGCCACGGCCATACAGTTTGTAAGCAATTTAAATCTCTGTGTTTACTTGGTTGGGTCTGAGCGGCTGCAGGACTGTCGGGTGACAGAGATTTGTCCTGACTGTGGGCCAGGCAGGAAAACTAGCTACACCTGACCTTTGTTATAACCTCGGCGAGCATGTGTGTGCACATATACAATGGGATGTAAAAAAATGGTTTTACATATGTCTGAACTTTTCTGTAATAAAAAATTAAAACAAAAGAAATGATTCTGAAAACTGTAACCAGAAAGAGAGGTAGTTAGTTGCAGGCTGCTAGCATTGAAATGATTATACAGTAGAAAGGCAGGAAAAGGGCTTTGGGGGTGTGTTCAGTTCTGTAAGAAGTGACAGGGGTCCTACATACGATCATGTGCGCACGCACAAACACACCCCCCCACACACCCACACACCCAGAGTTTGAGAAACATCCAACAAAATCCCCTTAAACTAGTCTCAGGTTCAAACTTGAACAGAGGATACTTACACATCTGTGAATGAAGAGGGAATATTTTCTTCCACCCACTTCAAATCTTCATCCTGTAGAAATAAATATTTATATTTAGTATTTGCTAAGTATCACCTGGAAGCATACATTTTTTGGTAGCATGCTTGTAAATTCAGACTGAAATCAGATACATGGCGTCTGTTAGTACTACATGTGCTCCAAGGAGCTCAGGGCATCACCCACCAAGTGTGACAGCGTTTCAGAAACAGACAGAAAACTGCTGATTTTTCTGTTTCTTGGTTTTAGCTAAGTATATTACTGTTTTTTCCCACTTTTATTTATTTACTTTTCTTCATTAGTTTACATCTGGGAAGGGTACAGCATCACATGGATTCTGTGTCCAGTGGCCTTTGCAGGAAGGTTGCTTTGGAAACTGTCATGAACCATGCATGCCACTGTTTCCACGGGCCCAAACTACTTTTCCCCAGATCACTCTGGTTTTGTTTGGTTTGCCTACAGGAGTCACTGTGTTGTTTTTTTGCTTTATACACATAAGCACATCTCTTGCTCAAGTAGAATTCAGCTTCCTCTTGGGCACAAACACCTCCAGTTTTAAGAAGGGCTGTGTGTTCTCTCTGGTTCCCGACACCTCACATATAGCCAGCAAACACACGGCCTCACCCCACAGCCTTCCAGACAGATTTGCCCTTTTAGAAGTCCTGTTTCCAGCGGATCTCAGGAATCTGCCTCCAATGTTCAGCAACAAAAACCTCCCTTACCTCCATAGGCACCAAGACAGCGGAAAAAGCCTGTTCTTTTTCTTTGTGTCTCAAGAAGTCAAAATAAAAACGTAGAATTGATTTGTAAGACAGAAAACAGCAAGGTTCACTTTGATTTTTTGCTTCTATCCCTCATTATCCCTAATTTGTACAAATTCTGGAGGGTTTTTTTTTTTTTCAATTGAAAATGCTAATGGACAATGCTCCACCCTCAGTAAAGCACTGAAATGGAGTGTCTATACCTGTCCATATCCTCACTTGAGGCAAGGAGGGCCAATCAGCTGGGGGTAGGAGGGGTTTCCCTCTAACAGAAACTGACTTCTAGGTGTCAATCAGATGGAGAAAAGAGAAAGGACAGTACAACAGAAATCAAGTTTTTCTTTCCTGTGGACCCAGGTCACTCTACTCAAAGCAGGAAGCACCTTGCTGATTGAGAGAAGGCAATAGAGTCCTGTTTCTGTGAGGGGGTCCCAGGTAGAAATTAGTAATGAAAAGTAAAATCTCTAACTTCTGATCAAAAGTTGACAACACTTAGTTTAGAAGAATGAATAGAAATCCTTTGACATGTTTGTGACTACTGAGTTTTAAATAAACTGATAAGCAATGTAAAAGGAAAATACTAACAAGGTGGAAACGTTAACACAGCTTAAGTATCCCTCATCTAAAATTCTTGGGGCCAGAAGTGTTTTAGATTTCACATTTTATATTTCCAAGCATTTGCATACACATAATGAAAAGCATAAGGATGGGATCCAAGCTGAAACATGAATTCATTTATAACGTATATGCTTTACATGCAGAGGCCGGAGGCAATTTTATACAGCATTTGTGAGAGTTTAGCAGAGGAAATCGAGTTTCACAGTCGTTTTTTCACTTGTGGTGTCACATTGATGCTCAAAACTTTGGGGGCTTTAAATTTTCAGATTAGAGTGCTCTACCTGAAGCTCTAATACCAGCTAAGTAAAACTAGAGATTTTTAAAAGCTTAAATTACCATGAAACTACCCGAAGAATACATTTTACAGATTGCCAGCAGTCAAAAGAAGGGAATTCGTCAACTCTAACCGAGGACAGTGTTGTCCCACAGCACTTGTCATGGAACTCCCACACAAACGCCATTTTATACAGCATCATTCCGAGGCAGCGGAATGCAAGGGTGTGTAAGGCTTCCTTCTGCTCCTCTGTGATCACCACCACTTCTGTGCACAGCAGCAGACGTAAGGATTTAAGACTCATCTTTGATTGAGGGGTGGCAGTGCAGGCCTTTTATCCCAGCACTCAGGAGGCAGAGGCAGGCAGATCTGTGAGTTGGAGGTCTACAGCTTGAGCTCTGGGTTTAGTTCCTTGCACCCCAGTGGTGGCTCATAACCAGCCATAACTGCAGTTCCAGAGGCTCTGACTCTCCTCTAGCCCGAGGGCACCAGGCACACTCATGATGCACATACATACATGCAAACAACACTCAAAGACATAAAAAATAAATCAAATAATTATAAACTCATCCCTGCCTTATAGTCTAGATTTTATTCATGCTTTCATGGTTTTAAAAGTCTGCTATTTTGGAAAGTGAACAGGACGTAAGAAGTCCTTTTCCCAAAAGATGACAACCAATACCTAAAGCAGCTTCAAAAGAAATTGCTCGGATGTGCTGAAAAGCCACCACTGACTTTTACCAAGACAAAGCCTCACCATGTAGGATGAACCTGGTAGAGCCCTGGCCAGCCACGGACTCAGACAAAACGGGGCGGTGAAGCCTGAGGTGCTACACCTCCAGCAAAGGCCCTGACAAATGAGAACAGACAGCGGCGGCATCGCAGCTCCGGGCCTGACGTGCACTGGTGCCTGGAAACAGCTAACTTAGTAACACCACACCTTAGCAAAAGCTCCTTGACAGTCAGTGACTCTGACATGGACAGACTCTAAAGTATTAGTCAGAGACCCCACTAAATACACAGATACTCACAAAATTATCAGAAGTAGGCTTAGCTGTTCCGTTTGAAACCGCTTTTGAGGCTCTTAGTTTTATTCCTTCAGCTACAATGAAAAACATCACAGAGACATATAAAAGATCACAAAATTATACTTTCCTCTGTAACCTCACACTTAATACCTAATAAGAAAAAAGATTATTTTTAAAGAGTTAGGAGTAGCCACTTTGGCCAGGGGAGTAACTTTAATATGCCTTGGGCTCTGGTAACTGTATTTCACAACAAGCTGTTCTGAAATGCACTTCCCCAATTCAATTTCAAGTTTAAGAATAAATGCATAAGATTTACAATATTTCAAAAATAAGACATCTTTGGAGGCTTGGGCTCTATTTCAGTGGTAGAGCATTTGCCCAGAATGTGTGAAGCCCTAGGTTTCATCACTAGCACCCCAACACACACACACACACACACACACACACACACACACACACCTTAGAAATTTTTACTTGCTTGACATATAAACAGCAGGGTATGCTTATGGTATAAAATACGATACGAAAATTATTTCTTCATATATGATAAAAGCTTTTTAAAATTATGCACGTGTCTATGTGGGCATGTCACACTCCTCTTAGAGACTTCACACTGCCATGACTTGTAGTAAGTGGCGTGTGCGGCTATCAGTCATGCTGACGTAAGCACTGTGGGGTTGGCAGTAGCTCACTGCTGTCTGTGTCTCCCTGACTATTGAGAACACCGAGCACTGTCAGTGTGCATACTGTCCGTCCAAGTCGGCTTGGCACTGCTTAGCATGAGGGTAACCTCTCGACGGATGTCTCCCTTTATCACTCTCTATCTTATTTCTTTTCAGGGGGCAGGGTGGCGTCTCTCACTTAGCCTAGAGTAAGTTTACTGTTTCAGGAAGACTGCTGGCCAGCAAGCCCTGCAGTAGATCTGTTTACACTGCCTCCGCCTCCCTCCCCCACTCCAGCACTGATGTTACACCCGGGTCTTAAGTAGGTGCTGGGATCCAAACTCAAGTTCTCCTGTGTGCTTAGCAAACACTGCTGGGCCACCTCCCCAGTGTGCCTGTGTGCCTGTGTGTGGTGGAGCCAGAGGACAACTCTGATGTTGTTCCTTGGGTGCCATCCACCTACGCTTGCCTGGAATCAGCCAAGAAGGCCAGGTTGGCTGGCCAGTGACCTCCAGTGACCTGCCTCTCCAGCACTGCGGCTGTACATGCATGCTACCCGGCTTTTTTTTTTTTTTTTTTAACATTGGTTCTGGGGACTGAATTCATGTCCTCATGCCTGCAAGGCAAACACTTTACAGGTTGAGACATCTCAATCCTAAGAGAAAATTTAAACAATACATGTGACCTTGCATCTCAAGTAAAGATTTCTCTTAAAATATGTACAACAGTCATTTGAAAAGAAACATGTCACGCACTTAAATTTTCAGATGTTACCATGAATTCCTCGACTTCATCATCAGAATCATCTATCAAGGGCATGAAAGCATACCTAGATAAAAACAAAAGAGCCTTTCAATCTGATCACTGTCAGTCAATTGCACATAAAAACTGTACTGCCCAAGTTTCTTATGCTTAGATAATAACTAACCTCCCATCCACGCCATTTTAGCATTTTTCTAATGAAAGAAAGGTGCTAATGTGGTTAGTGACATTAAAGGTGATCAGAGCAAATACCTTCTCAAAAATACTGTTGATGACAAAACTGATTTCTACAAATTGTCCAGTATAGCAAGGAGGAAAACATTTAAGATTTATTTATTTTATGTGTATGAGTGTGTTGCCTGCATATATTAAATATATTTAATATATTAAATTGCATGCCTAATGTCTGTAGAGGCCAGAAAAGGGGATCAGATGCCCTGGAGCTGGAGTTACGAGCTACTATGTGGTGAGTGAGAGCTAAACCTGTGTCCTCTGCAAGAGCAACTAGTGCTCTTAACCACTGAGCTCTCTCTCTAGCCATCAAGGAGAAAATGTTTATAGATGAAAAAGCATTGTGTTTACAGGGCTGATGTTCTATTTTCATATCACCAAATGAATCTATATTTAAACAAACATTTACATTTTAGAATCCTCTAAGCATTTTTGTATTTTAATTATTAAATACATGATACATTAAATAAATGATGTGATGCACCATTGATGGAAATAATCTTTCCTAAGGTCTTTTGGTCCATATCTGTCAAAGTAAAGGTCCCTTTGCCTTATAGTACAATAGAAAAGTACCTCCAAAAGCATTCAAGAAATATTGCTGATAATAGCATATGGTGATATTTTATTTACGCTGAAATGTGATTTTATTTGTATGTTAATAAATAAAGTTGCCTGGGGGTCAGAGCTAATAGCAAGGCATTTAGCAGAAGTCTGGCAGTGGTAGCACATACCCTTAATCCGGTCACATGGCAGGCAAAGTCTGTGTGTTCAAGGATACAGCCAGCATGGAGACACATGCCTTTAATCTCAATACCAACCATAGAGACCTGAAGGTCTGTATAGACAGGCAGTGACAAGGAGGTCATGTGGTTGGGTTTACAACCAATGAGAAGGCAGAACAGAAAGTCAATAAAAAGACAGACACACAGGAAGTAGGTCTCTTTCTGAGGGGAAGGACCACAGCGACAGCGAGGGGTAAGAAGGAGGTCTTGGTCTTAGCTCTTGGCTGTTGCTCTGACCTCTTTGGTTTTTAACTCTGCATTTGGCTCTGTGTTTCTTATTTAATAAAACTGTTCAGAATTACATCTACAACAGCAAAAGTCAAATGTCCAGTACTTTTGGAATGCGCATATATATATATATGGTGCCAATCACATTATAAAATACCGCACAGCCTTTGGTTACTGTAATGCATCTATCCATGGTGATACAGAGGTATATTTTAAAAAGAAAGTTGTAGAACAGTAATTTATTTATTTTAATTCTTTTTTTTTTGGGGGGGGGGGTTAAGACAAGGTTTCTCTGCATAACAGCTCTGGCTGTCCTGGAACTCGCTTTGTAGACCAGGTTGGCCTTGAACTCAAGAGATTCACCTGCGTCTGCCTCCAAGTGCTGAGATTAAAGGCGTGCACCACCACCACTGCACAGCTTAAAAATTCTTTTAAAGACAGGGTCTTGATATCCATCCTAGGCTGGCCTTGAATATACCTGTTTCTGACTCCTGACTAAAAGTGATTAAAAGTATGACCCAACATGCCTAGTTATTTAAATTTTCATTAGATTTGGTTCTCTCCTTCCAACACGGGGTCCCAGGCAATGAACTCAGGTCCGCAGGCTCGATGGAAAGAGCTTCTACCTGCTGGGCCACCTCACTGGCCACTGTGATTGTTAATCGTTAAAGGGAGAAGGAAACACACTGCCTAGTATGCCTGTCTCATCTTCCCTAGAGGGATACGTAAGAAACTCAATAGTTCTCTCCTCAGAGAAGAAGGTAGGCAGGAGAAGGTGGGCTGGCCACCACAGTGGAAAGTACACATTTCCAAACTGGTACTCAGCCCTTTGCCATTCCACCTCACTCTTTCTGTACAGCTTTCTAAAATAAAAAAATAGGCTGACCATCTTGAATCCCAAACTGTATACCTGTCTGAGTATCAGGTCAGTTGCTCTAGAAGTTTCTGACTCTGAGCATCCTAGATTTCAGATTAGGATGCTTAACCAGTAAAGTCTATGCAAGTATTCTAAACCAAAAGCGCTTCTAAGCACGTGGGATAAGAAGGCTGCACCTGAACACAGTAGAGCTGGCCCTGATGGCGTAGGTGGGGCAGAGCAGACACCGAAGATGTGAAAGCAGGAGAACTGACCCCGTCCCTCACTCATTGCTATAAGAGGTGAATTATCTGGGGCAATGCTGGAAAGCTCAGCCTGGTGGTGAGGACGGGGAGAAGTGGTAGGCGGACCAACCCTGCAGCTGCCCAGGCCCAGAACCAGGGTTATGACTTGGCCTGCCCCAACATCCACCCCATCTATGATCTGCTGGAGCACATGAAGAGACCTGACCCACAAACCCAAAGCTGCAGGATTTCCACAACACAGGGCAACAACAGGATATCCAAGAAGAGTCCTAGAGGGCCCAGCATCGATGGTGTAGCAGAAACCAGAGGCCTCGAACCAGACCAACGACTCTTTGCAATGAACACTTGCAAGTAAAGCTATATGGACAAAGGGTCTACTGCGTAACTCACTGTGTCACACTGCAGCTGCCATGACGAGATTTTTACTTTTTTTCCTCTTAAATTGTTTTATTTTGGAGGAATTGCAGGGGCAGAGGGTGGATGCAAAGGGATGGGGAAATGAACGGAATCGAGCTGCATGATGTGAAAGACACACTGAATAAATAAAAACAAAAAAGGAAAAAAATGCTGCACCTGCCATACTAACTATACTGCACACCTCATGGACTTCTATGTACCATGCATGACTTTTCCACAATTCTCCCCAAATCTATATTCTTTCTCAGCCCAATCTTTCACTGTGTTATTGCTATCTTAAAGCTGTTCCATAAATTCCAGCTCTTCATGGAGTCTTCCTCTTCCTCCTGGACTGCTTAATGCCTTACCTTCCTGTATCCCATTTGCAATGCCTGTCTTCTCACTTTACTATACACCTGCATAAAAACAGTCTTTCCCAGCAGTCTCTATGTGTGCTTTCTGTCGGGGTACCTGAAAGCGTCAAGGTCAGCAGGGAAATGATCAGTGAGGTGAGATGAAACTCAGGACAGCATCACTTTAGCACGTGCTGGGTCAAGACTTCTAGAGTCTGACCTCGAAGTTTCTTTGTCTTATACATTTAAGCACAGTAAAACTTTGGGAAAAAGTCTCCATGTGACAATGATCACAACAAAGCTTCAGGGATGGCAACATCAAAATTCCCCTGCAAAGCACACCTCTCTAGCAAAGCACCTGGGACCTCTGCAATAAGAATGAGTTCTACTGACGGATAACAGTGCTCAGGGTAAGGGTCTAGGGAGGAAGGGTTTGTAATAAGCATAAGGAAAGATTCTATCGATGGAGGATGCAAAGTACACAGGACCTCTTTCATAAGGAAGGGTTCTATTCAGTGAGAGACAAAGCTCGGGATTAGGGCCTAAACAAAGCTCAGGGAACTCAAGCAAAGTCTGGCTCCATAGAATAGCAAAAGATCACCAGGTTGTTAGACAACATCCACTCCTGTCCTCTGGGTGAAAAGGTGTCACTTCCTTCCCTTGAAGAAAGAAGCCCGTGTTTAACAGTTCTGCATGGTCTAATGCTTTCCGTGAGCTGTGCCTCCTAGGGTTCTCAACACCACAGAAGTCACATGCCTCCGAGTCATAATTCCCCATGTAGTTACCTCTGATTATTTGCCGATGGCCTCCATAAGAACATTATCACAATAAGGATGAGTGAAAAGAGAAAGCTCCAAAACGCATCATCAACCCAGAGCTCCATCCAATCCTAGAACAAGGATGATCCAAACACAAACCATCAATTTCCTGATAAATGTGCAAGTGTCCCATTCAAACAGTACACAGGAGTACCGAGACCTCTCTAGCTGGCAAGTTCTCTTAGCAAATAAACAATAATTTTCTTCTAAGGAAACCTATGTTTTAAGCATTGTTTCTAAAGAGCATACATGTTTCCCTTCATAAACAGAAAGATGTAGGGAAAAATCAAAACATAGACTTAGAACTTCAAGCAGAAATTATTAAAGAGGGGAAAATGGCCAAAGGCTCAGCTTCTTCCTTCCAGGGTCTCTTACACTGCAGCAGATTAGGGCTTCTGGGCACTCTGTGAGCACACCTGTCATCTCCAGAACAGGTTCTGAGTGAGGACTGGGATGAAGCAGGGACATCCTGCAAAGCCAATGCAGAGTGTGACATCAAAGCAGCAGCCCACCTTAGTGCTCAGTCCCACCCAGGTAGGAAGCCAGCTGGGGTGCAGCTCGGTGAAGCAGAGCACTGCAATGCCCTGGTGCCATCTCTGCACCAAAAGGCACAGAGAAAGGAAAGGGAGAAAGGGGCACAAGTATATAAAAAGAAGTTCATAGGAAGGGATAATGAATCTGAGAGGAGCTTGCTCCGCTATTTAGTATTTTCTGGCTGGCCTTGAACTTCTGATCCTCTGGCCTCCTCTAGCTCCTGAGTGATGGGATTACAGGACCGTGCAATTATGACAGTCTCTATGGCGCTGGGATTAAACCCAGGGTTTGTGCATGTGAGACAAGCATTCTACCAACTGAGATCCACCTCCAACTTCAGGTTATTTAAAAGAAAAAAGTTTTGATAACTCTACAAAAAAATTGGTCAAAGTAAAAGGAAAACGACCAATAAAATTATACCTTTACAAACTAAACTTTGAAATTCCACAAAAAAACAGAATTAAAAACAGTAACTTTAAATATTTAATTTAATTAAGCACTTTAATTCTTTAATAATTTAATTAAGCAGTCTTTTTTTTTTTGTCGGCTTAGCAGCTGCACATGAATCTACGGATACTTTAATTATCATCTGTAGCCCTCCAGCCCCTCAGTCAGTGCTGCGCCAGCCACGCAGGCCGCTGCCTGGTGGGGCTGTGTCCTGCAGCCAGGGCTCTCCATCATTCTATTTCTCAGTAAGACCGAGGAGTCAAAGGCTGAGGTAAAAACCTGATAGCTCAGAGAGGCTAAGTAGCAACTAGCTGACCTAGTTTTCTGGCTGGAGACACCATAAGAACACATCTCTTCCCTCATCCCTGAACCCAAGAGGAACTATAGTTCTCCCCCTTTCCTTCCTGTGTATCTTTTCTATCCAAATTACTGACTTCTCAATGGCCAATTTCAGTAAGTCAGTTGCTCTCTTCGCCCTGAGTCAAGGTATAACTTTATTGATCAGTCTAGGGAGTGTCAGAGTGTGATCAAAATATCCCATAACATTTCCCCCCTTTTGCCTAAATAAAACGACACACCTCTTGTGGTGTCTCGGGCCAAAAAAACAAGGTCATCTAGTTGCTAGTCAGTCTCTCTGAGCTAGCAGGTTTTTACCCCAGCCTTTGACTTCTGAGTCTTATTGATAAATACAACAAGAGACTTAATTTAAACCTAAATATCAAGGTGGTGGCAAAGCCAGGGCAGTGGGACCAGAAGCCCTGCCAGACCATGGCTTGAGTGGCTGGCAGGGTGCTGACTGAGGGGGCTGTGGGGCCACTGATAATAAACATCATCTGGTGCCCTAGATTGGGTGCTATAAGTAGTAAGTCTTTTTCTGTCCTGCCATTCAGCTCCCAAATAATGACATGGAGATTTCTTTTTAATTATAAAAGCTTGGCCTATAGCTTAGGCTTATTTCTAACTAGCTCTTACAATTTAAATTAACCCATTTATATTAATCTATATTCTATCACAATGCATTACCTCTCATCCATCTTGCACCTCCAGTTTCTTTTCCATGTCTCCTGGCATCTCCTGCACACCTGGATTCCTCCTCCTCTTCCTTTCTCTCCCCAGAAATCCTGCCTATACCTCTTGCCTAGTCATTGGCTATTTAGCTTTTTATTACACCAATCACACCAATACATCTTCACTCAGTGTACAAATACCCCACAACAAACCACTTTAATTATCTAGCCAATGATTTAATTAAATTTTAAAATACTTAAGATTTTACTTACTGATTGGCATTTTGCAATCCTGAAGGTCTTTGTTGTCCACACCATAAACACTATAGAAGCTGAAAGACAGAGATAGTCACCTTTGAAAGAACATACAACACTGAAATGGGCTGTTTTAGAAAGAGGCAGAGATGGCTTACCCAGAACAGCAAAGATGAGTGTATTTGTAAAATGCCTATATAATGAAAATTTCACTGTGTTCTTTCTTAGCCTTAGAGTCTTCATAGTCTGTGCCAAACTTATAAAAATGTGAAAAACTAGTTAAGGAAAAACAAGGAAAATGGCAAACTATAGTTAAAAGAAAACACAGTAAGAATCCTATACTAGAGTCCCAAACACAGCAATGCTAAATTCTTAAAACAAAACACAGAAAATGTATCTTAATCTATACCATTCTAAAATTACATTTAATTACAGTTTTCTATATAAAATTTCCATTGTCTGAAATGAATGAACAGACTTAAAAAAAAAAAAAGGGCAAGAAGACCTGTGATGCGTTCCTGTGACACAGGCCAGTGCAGTGTGCACAGTCAAAGCAGAAACTCTCAGCTAAGACACCTCTTGCTACCTATGACACCACGACTGTTACTTTCTTATTTTTTCTTGTTCTAGTTGATTCTTGTTATTCTCTAAATAGCTATAATTGAGTAGTTAGAGCATCTATCGGTTCCTTTTTATAAATTAAAAAACTAACAAAAATAACAAGCCTGAATTTAAGTGGTATCTTTTGGAAGGACGGGGCATACTAGGAATGTAAGCTTTTCAAGTGACTTAAAGCCCAGGGAGAAAAGGCCTGTGGACAGAAGGACGCAAGCACAGGAAGGTGGCCGGGCACAGTGACAACATACAGGTCTTTCCTGGAGGTCTGTCAGTTCTCACGAGGACCTTTAAAGAGGCTGTGTACTGGCTCAGGTTAACAGTAGGTTCAAGGACATCAGAGGGAAAAGTCTTGGAGTCTGATGAAGTTAGTATTTGTCTTGATTACATAATGGGCACAGAAGGCTCAGCTAACCATCCATGAGGCAGAGAATGGGTGTTTGGAGGGCCTGGGTCCAGCTTAGTCAGGTAAAGTAGGAGCATCCTGGACTCTGAGCCAAGTCCTATGGGAAGGGAGCGCCTTACAAAAGCCTTTCCCAGAACACAAATGGTGGAGAGGAAGTTTTAGCAGTGGTTGCTTTCCAGGAGCACAGGCTCTAGGAAGGCTAACACTGTCCAGAAGGAGGAAACAGAAACTTCCTTGCTGACCCCTCAAGTCAGCAGAGGCCTGTAGATGTCTACTCATGCAGGCAGGTCCCTCCTTGGGGACAGACCAACGGCCTTTATTTATGAACCAGATACCAACACTAACAGAGAACAGGGCAAGCTTTGGATTTATACCTATTTAAAAGACTAACTACTTCAAAACACTGGGCGGTGGTGGTGCACAACTTTGATCCCAGCACTCAGGAGGCAGAGGCAGGAGGATCTCTGTAAGTTTGAGGCCAGCCTGGGCTATGAAGAGAGTTCTATGAAGAGAGTTCCAGGACAGCCAGAACTCTTACACAGAGAAACTGTCTCAAAAATACAAAAGACTAAATACTTCATTAAAAAAACAAAAAACAAAAAAATTCCTGTTCATACTAAAACTATTTTATAAAAACTAATTTTTCAGCCATTCTACATGCCCAATACTTTACAGTAAAGATGGATTTTTTTTTTTCGTTTTTCTTTTTTTTTTAGTTTTAGTTACTTTTAAAGAAGTTCTTTGAGAAAGGGCCTCACTGTGTAGCTAGCCATGGCTGGTGTGGAACTCAGAGATCCTCCTGCCTGCCTCCAAGTGCTGGGATTAAGATGTGCACCACCATGCCTGGCAAGATCAGCTTCTACAGTAACACACTCTAACCAATTAGGTCCTACTGTGAGATCCTACCAGAACGCAAACACACTGTACTCCTTACACATATCAGATGAAACAAACAAACCTGTTCTTGTTTAAAAATCCAAATGTGATCTTAAAACCAAGGGGTTAAAAATGTCAAAAGCAAATTTGAAGCTGCCTAAGCCTTTACTTACCAGGGCACTGTTTAATTAGGTCAAGGTTAACTCCCCCGCCCCCCACCGGCGCCCCCTGCGGAAGAGAAAGCAGTGATGGAAGCGCACAGGCTCCACAAGGTGGAGCGAGCCAGGCGAGCATGCCGCAGCGGCAGGAAAAGGATATCCACCAGCACAAGCCCGAGTCAAGGAGAGAGAGAGGCAGGCTGGCCAGAAGAACGAGATCAGAGTCATTCGCCTGCAGCAAAACAGCAAAACAAATAACCAAGCAGCAAAGAGGGGCACTGGGAGACATAAGAAAGGCCACCAACTTTGAATTTCTGTCAGGAAGATTCTTACAGGATCAACTGCCTTTGGTTAGGCTCATTGGAATCAGAGAGAGCAAGGTCATCATCCGAAAGCATCAATTTTGTATCCAGCCCTGCTTCTATCTGCTTGCCATCTGTAACCATCCAGGAAACCTACTTCTCACTTACAGTGGTAAAAATGACCAAATCGCAGGTGATAGCAAACTCGGCAAATTCAGGTTCAAAGGAAAGGAGTATGAGAGTAACTTACTTCTGGTCACCACTTAACACTGTCCAGGGTAGTTTTAATTTCTGCATTTCTTTATAACCTCCGAGAAAATTAAACCTCTCTCTCATCTTGCTTTCCCTACCTCCCTACCCCAACTTGCTCACTGTACTGGAAGGTAACAAAGTCAATGCTATCCAAAGGAGATGGCCTGCCCACATTTGCCTAGAGATGGGATCAGAAAACACAGAGCTTTTTCCTTAGAATTTTCCGCCAGTTACTACCTGAGTTTTTCCCAATGAATCACTCTGTGGATGGTGAAGAAATCTCTGGAATATCTATCTGTAAATCCCAAGAGAAAACAGCATGTTTTGTTTATTTGCTTTGAGACAGGGTCTCTTTACATAGCCCTGGCTGTCTATGAACTCTCTTTGAAGCTCAGGCTGGCCTCTAACACAGAGATCACCTGCCTCTGCCTCCCAAGCACTAAGATTAAAGGCGTGCACCACCACACCCACCTACAAAATTCTTCTGGATGAAAAGTCTAAAGCTCAATTGCTTAATGCAAGGGCATAGTCCCTGACTTGTCAAAAGTTCCAAGCACAAACTACTTTAGAAAAGAGGCAATTTCAAAAGGGGCAGCTCAGGCTTTTCTAAATACACAGTGGCAGAGGACAAGCATCAGGACAGAGATGTACTGCTAAAGGCGGGATTGCCCCCATCTCTACTGAAGCTCTGCCATCCAATTCCAGAGGTGTCTATTTCCTGCCCCTTCTCTGCAGGAAGGGAAGCATCTCTAAGAAGCCACTGCTGAGGTGGCACAGGCCCCTCCCATGTTATTACATCTTTCCCCATGGTCTCATCTATCATGATTCACCACCATATTTACATGCAGAAAAGCTAAGCTGGGACATTCTGCCACTGTCCCCTTTAACGTCACACTTCAACTATGCTTCCCCTCAATTCTCTTCCTATGTACTCAACCATTTCTGTGCAGTCTTTATCTTTTCTGCCAGTTTTCCTTTCGCCTCTACCCTCACACCAGCACTCAAGGATGGCAATTTCTCCTGCTACGCAGTTTCAGTGAAGTTGTCTATTTGACTCTCTAGCAGCTGTGAATTCTGTAAACGCAAAGACAATATTCTCTGTGTATGCCTCACTGTGTGGGTGTACATTGAGCATTTACATGTTTAGTGAACTAACAGGAAAATAGAGACATTCCTATCTGGGGAGTTACTACTTTCTTGTCTTTAGCTAAACTCCTTTATTGAGAAAACAATAATGCACAATTATATTTCATTCTACCATTATTATGAATTAAAAGTAATCTAATTTTAATAATACCACAAACTATTTTGGAAGGACATGATAAAGGATATGAACCACACAAAAATGGAGTCAATAACTGCTAAAATAATGTCACTCAAAACAACAGCTAAATGTTTAGAACCCTGGAAGATAAAAGTAGGGAAAGCCTAAATTTGTACAAGTTTCATTGCAGTGTACAAGAATCATCTGAAGAAAAACAGTTTCGCTCTGTATCACCTACTATGCCACCTAAGAGTTTATATCTTGATGGGACTGTGTTTAACACATAGAAATCATCTGTTTTGGAAACAACTAATGTAATTTCTTACCAATTTATTTCATGCTAGAAATAGACTGGCAATAAACAAAACACTTGCCATGCCCCAGTCTCACCCAGACCTGCCATTTCAATCTCCTGCCTCATCACCCCACACTCAGAGCCGAGTCTATCAAAGGAACAGGCTCCTGATGTCCCCTGATGGTAAAGGGACACACTCACACACAAAAAAAAACTAAGGAAGGCGGGGTAACATGTGGAAAGGGAGAAACAAACTGTAAATTAGACACCTGCTTCAACGGTTACATTTAAAACAGCCACTATCTAAACTGCTGACTGGGTAAACTTTAAAATGTATACTGTTGAATTTATATGTGGGGTGTTACTTTTCCTATAATCTTTTTAGCAAAGACTAATTCCTATGAATTATATGTATACTTAAATATATATGAGGCTAGCCAGCTGTGGTGGTGTAGGCCATTAATCCCAGCACTCAGAAGACAGAAGCAGGTGGATCTCTGAGTTCAAGGCCAGCCTAGTCTATAGGGTGAGTTCCAGGACAGCCAGCACTACAGAGAAACCTTATTTCAAAAAACCCCATACACACACACACACACACACACACACACACACACACACACACACATATGTATATGATATATATGTGACATATATATGTACACACACACACGTATGTATACACACACATATATATGAGGGATTCTTCATGATTATGCAAAGGAACAAATATACTCAAAGAATAAAAGAACAGGTTTGTGGCATGGAATGTAGATGTATCAAGACAATGGAATGAGGCTTTTTAATACTGTTGAAAAATGTCCTTCTTTAAGAGCCAAACAAAGAGCTGGGCTGTGGTGGCGCATGCCTTTAATCCCAGCACTTGGGAGGCAGAGCCAGGCAGATCTCTGTGAGTTCAAGGCCAGCCTGGTCTACAGAGGAGTCCAGGACAGGTTCCAAAGCTACACAGAGAAACCCTGTCTCGAAAAACCAAAAGAAAAAAAAAAAAATCAAACAAAAATATGTGAGGTAAAGTTACATGAGAACATACAGATTAACTGCTCTGTGCACAGTGATCTGATCTACACACTGAATTTAAATGTGTTTTGGGTAAAATGCAAGTCTCTGAATCAAGTAAACTGCAGTAAGCTTCTCAATCACTTGGCTTCCTAAGAACCCAAGCTCCTTTCATGCGAGTTGTTTGGTTTTGCTTTTTTCTTAGGGATTTTCACAGATTAAAATCCAACACTTCCTCAGAGGATAAAGTGCTGCTGCCCATATGACCAGAGTCTTCCCTGAACATGACCTGGTTCTTCCACTGTGGGACTTTCTGACTCCACAGAGAGTAAGTCCAGTCAGGGCAGAGTTAGAGCCAAATGAGAGGAGAAATGCTTCCATGAGTGAAGGGAGTAATTCCCTTTCTGCCCATTCGATCCACTTCTAAGTCCAGGATTAAGAAAGAGATGTCTGTGTTTAAACTATGTAAGGGCAAAAATAGACGCCACTAATAATGAACACAGACAGTTCTGGACGGAGCTACGTCCAAGGGGGATGCTATCAGCAGTCTTTCACAGTCTGCCATTTTAGGAAGCAGTCTGCTGGGCTCTTCCTTCACCAAGTATTACAAAAGCAGACTATTCCATCTGGAAAAAGATCGAGTTGGGACTTTCTCATGGAAAATGAAGAGACTAAGAACAACGGCCTTCTTTGGTTAGGTTCACGTGGCTTTTACCCCGAGGACTCTCATGGCGCCTTCGACAGCCGCAAAGACCAAGTACAGCAGTCCCAGTCCAATCACCCGGTGCATGACTGTTCCTAACCGGGGCCTGGAGTGAGAAGGGGGCGGGAGAGAAAGCATGGGTCAGTAGGGTGCATCTGAACACGACTCACAGGGTCAACACACAGGGCACTATATAGTTACACGGCTGTGCTTGAACTCGGCATCCTCTCTCACAGGCCCAGGAACACCAGGCCTTTCCTCTAGGACCTGAAGCTGTGCACGTGCCAGAGGATGTGAAGTTCAAGCAGGAGGATGAACAGAACCAAGCACTACTGAGAATAGAGGGCAGGCTGGTGAACCTAGGAAGGGAGATGCCAGCTTCTAGGGGCCGCTGACAGAGATCATAACTTCCACTAACATTACCTGCAAACCACATACAACGCGGTCTTGGAGGAGCCAACTGATCTAGTGACTGGCCACAGAGCAGAGTATGAGCACAAGGAACCCCAGAGCCCTTCCTCTCTTTCCTGCCTGTTATCCACAGCAGAGGTGATAACATAATTTGGTTTTTACTCTTTCAACTTAAAAGTTAAAATAATATTTTTGATTCTTTTTTTTTTTCAAGACAGGGTTTCTCTGTGTAGCTTTGTGCGTTTCCTGGATCTCGCTCTGTAGACCAGGCTGGTCTTGAACTCACAAAGATCTGCCTGCTTCTGCCTCCCAAGTGCTGGGATTAAAGGCGTGAGCCACCACCGTCCGGCCAATATTTTTTGATTCTTAAAACATGTATGAGTAGGGGAAAATGTATTTTCTTTTATAATTAACAATCTGAATACAGATTGGGATCTACAAATCAGATGATTGCACATACATTTTACAATACTTCAAAACCCTCTTCTCAGAGTAATTAGTATGAAAAAATGGCTTTGAAAACCTAAGACAGTCATGTTAAAACATAAGGCCGGGTGGTGGTGGCACATGCCTTTGATCCCAGCACTTGGGAGGCAGAGTCAGGAAGATCTCTGTGAGTTCGAGGCCAGCCTGGTCTACAGAGTGAGACCCAGGACAGGCACTAAAACTACACAGAGAAACCCTGTCTCAAAAAAAAAAACCAAAACCAAAAACAAACAAACAAACAAAAAAACCCAAAACCAAAACCAAAAAAACAACAAAACCTAAGGCAAGGAGCTAAGTGTCAGGTGTGGAGAAGGGGATCAGGGTGGTGGCCTCCTTCAGGTTATAGGCAAGAAAGAGTTTGGAATGCAGCCCAGGCTGGCCTTGAACTGGAGATCATTCGGACTCCATGCCCTGAGTGCTGGGAATACAGGTGTTGATAGACCTAGCTGTGACCTAAAAAGTCTATTTCAAGATACTTAAGAAGAACAAAATAAGAAAGCCTAAAAGCCTGTTTGTGAGTGATCATGATAGCTTTTCCATTATTGCCAAGATTTAAGGAGGAAAATTTTTACCAGCCAGTAATAGCCCAACACCTTTAGGGAGAGAAGCATCCCCATTACCTTGGGAAAATTATATATGTAACAGAACCCTTCAGGAGACACACTTCATGGAAACACCCGCTGTGTGCCCCTTCAGGATAACAACATAAGCTGCAGAGAAGCACAGTTCCTGCTCACCTTCCTGCCTTTAGCAGGCAAAGAACTGGGCAGAACTACGTGAGGATAATGATCCCCTACTAGAAAGCCAACACCACCAGGCTGGCTCTCGGCACCATCAAAAGCTGAACAACTTGGCTAATCCCTACTCTAGTGTTGTCCAGCTACACCAGCCACATTCAATTAGAAGTAAAATAAGATTAAAAAAACCATCTACTAAAACGACCAGAACTCCAAGACACCTATAAGTTAAATTAGCCAATGATGAGTGACAGATTAGGGCTTAAATGGAAGTACGTTATCTTAGTCCTTCCGGTGGTCAGAGCCCTCCTTACACCGGAGGGGGTGGCACCTCAGAAGTGTGACAGTTAAGAAGGTCGGTCTGTAATTCAAAGACACAGCCCGGTTCCCATGTTTGCATCTGGGACTAGATGGCAGTTTCTTTCTTTCTTTCTTTTTAAAAAAATAATTTACTTATTTTTATGTCATGTACATTCATGTTTTGCCTGCATGTATGTCTGTGTAAAGGTGTTGGATCCCCTGAAACTGGAGTCACAGGCAATTATGAGGCACCACATGGGTGCTGGGAACTGAACCTCAGTCCTGTGGAAGAGCAGTCAGTGCTCTTAACCACTGAGCCGTCTCTCCAGTCCCTAGAGAGCAGTTTCTAAACCGTCTCTACTGCCCTTGGGAACGAAACATCAGACACAGCAACGTCACCTCTGCCTGGATCCCATAGTCAACGGAAGCCAACTCCGCCATTTGCTTCAGCTTCGCCCTGTCAACTCTTCAGAAGGGCCTGGGAGCCCGACATCTCGGTGCTGGCTGTGCTCCCAAACACAGTGAGAATCGCCGAGAAGACGTAAGGAATGCAGACCCCTGAAGCCACACTCTCAGTACCACCTTTCTATCTCTGCCTTCGCCAGGGACACTTCAGTAACCACTTCCTAGATTATCCTGGTGATTTTATTAGTGGACGTCAATGCTGCTTCCCCAGGGAGCCTACCTTAACTTGAAAACATCCCGAGACATGCACCTAAAACACCCGCCAAACATTCGCACCGTGCAGAGACCAGCTGAAGCTACACACAGGGCTTTCTACTTCACAAAGACCGTCCTCTCACCTCTCCAAGCTGCCTGTGCCTGAGCTGCAGGGGTGGGGTTAGCCTCAGGTGGGAGGGCTACTCTGAGAGTGCATGGCCTCTCCTGGTTCCCTGGGTAGGTCAGTGGTACCACAGCCCATTGTGAATCCTGCAGATGGGAGTGACCCAGATGATGACCATTTTCCCAGTCTCCTACCAGAGAGCACCCACAAAAGAAGGGTAGGTGTTCCTGTGGGTTACAGCCCTCCCAAGCACCAGTTCCTGTCTGGGTACACACCCCCACCCTAGATTGCTTTATAGACAGTAACAGTGTTGCTACCTGGATGGCTGGGAGCACCAGCCCTCTGCCACTACTATTACCAGTGGAACCCTGCAAGTTGGGCCCATCCCATGTTTCTTGTCTACCTAGGTACATCTCATTCGATGCACAGTTCTTCTACCAGCCCTTAGCCTCTTCTGTAAGCTTGTTAAAACAGAAGTCGAGACACAGGTAAATGAGGTCCTGAGAAAGGAGGAGTCAGTGTAGTGTGACCCATCCTCCTGCCTTCACTTGCAGTTTGTGTACCTTGCATGGAGCTCTCAGTGGCTCTAATGTTAGAACATGGTGTCCAGAACATCATGGTTTTGTCTGTAGGCCAGGGAAGGTCATATGTCCAGTGGAAAAAAAAGTGGTGGTCCCTAGTTATGATGGTTCTGTACTCTGACCTGGATTTGCTGCACCTTTACAGTAAGACACAGACTGCCTAAGAGATAGGTGTGGTGGCACATGCCTAGAATCCCAGCACTCTGGGAGGCTCAGGCCACCTCGGGCTACTGGGCTTCAATCAGGATCTTTTTTTTTGGAAAGGATATAAAATGACTAGTCCAAACATGTTTTTAAACCTGTGCCCTTGTAGGCCGGGCGGTGGTGGCGCACGCCTTTAATCCCAGCACTCGGAAGGCAGAGCCAGGTGGATCTCTGTGAGTTTGAGGCCAGCCTGGGCTACAGAGTGAGTTCCAGAAAAGGTGCAAAGCTACACAGAGAAACCCTGTCTCCAAAAAAACAAAAAATAAAATTAAATAAATAAATAAACAAAAACCTGTGCCCTTGTAGAGTTTTCTCTTGGGGATTCAGGCTGCAATACTGACAAGCCTGAGTTCTGCAGAAGTCGTGGTATGCATGGGCTGAAGCACTAGACTGGAGAGTCAGGAGCTGTTCAAGCAGCAATACTTACTTCACAATGCCATAGCCCAAGCTCACAATGATCACAAGCAGGCGAGCCAATGTCCTCTTAACTGCAGATATCAACTCCGCAAATATCAGTAAACCTTGGGCTGAGGGGGAAGAAAAAAAAACCCAACTCATTATGTGCACTTTTAAGGGCCTTTTAACTAAGACTGTAAAAAATTACCATGTGCAATGACACTGACCTCAAATTAACTAAACATAAGTGATTTCCAAGCCATTTAATCCAACTGATATTACAGACCTCAGAGGAAGGTGGTACTACCTCCTCAAGTCTCACCTCAAGTCTGATCAGCTCTACTGGGCAGTTTTCTCATGCCAACCCTCCAGCTACATCCCTCTTCATGTCCAGCAAATATCTGAAAGCCATCATGTTCTCTGGAGTTCTCTTTTCTCCATGTGCCTTCATCATTTATTCCCTTAAAATGTATATTTATAGCAGTAAAGTGCTAGCCTAGAATGTGCAAGGCCCTGGGTTCAAACCTTAACACCACAAAAAGCAATGAAAGTATTCATTGCACTCCTGCCATATGACTGTAATAATAAAAGCGGCATCTCGGCCCCTGTCTGCACAGACTCTGACCTCTGGTTAGGCCATGGACACAGACACAACTCAGCATGGGGAGTGCTACATGTGACTCAGTGGCACTGGACTAGGAGAAAGAGCAATCTAATACACAGTTGGTCTGGAAAACCCACACAAGGTGAACAAATGAGGACTTCAAGACTAAGTGGACGCATGTGTGGAAGGAAGCATGAAGAAGAGAAACTCAGAGTGTGTATGCAGCTGAGTGCAACATCGGATGCCAAGAAAAGAACATAGACTAGAAAGAAGCTAGGACCACTCATGGCTCAGGCGACTCTGTTACCGAGTCTAGACTTAATGCTGAAGGCAGTGGAAGTCAACAGGAAACAGAGAAGAGGTAGGTGGGATAGAGGCCAGGACCAGCACCATTCATGGCTCTGGACACTCTGTTATGGAGTCCAGACTTGATGTTAAGAGCAGCGGGAAGTCAACCACAGTAAATACAGCGGAGGAATTGGTAAACTACAGCCCAGGGACTAAATCTGGCCTTGCATATTTCTGTAAATCAAGTTTTATCATAACACAGACATGCTTATTTATTGTTGTCTGTGGCTACTTTTCATAATGGCAGAGCTGAGTGATTTAAACAGAGACCATGTGGTGTGCAAAGCTAAAAATACATGGCCAGGCCTTTACACAACTCTTCAAACATACTGACAGTGACTCATAGCTTCTTTGACCACCTCTCTAGCGACACCTCAGATGAAGGACGTGGATTCCCTGATGGCCACAATGGCACACCATCTCTTCATGGATCTCTGGCTTTTGCTGTTCTTCAGTTCACACCACCCTTGCTCTCTCTAGGTCCTTACCAGAACACAAAAGGAAGGAACTGCCTTCACTGACACCCAGTCAGGTTCCAATCCTTACCATCTGATACTACCCCCAATGTGCCCCTGACAGAGCTTGGGAAGGAATGCAGAGCCTACGTATGCTAGGCAAGTTATCTACCACTGGGATACTCCCCCGCACTTCACTCTGACTTAGAGCACATGTGCAAACATCTGTGTGCAAGTATACACAAGCACACACACACAGCAGTAGCAGCTCTACTATGCAGACCTCCATGTTGGCCCTTTGTTTAGTCTTTTGTAGATATGCTTTTAGCCTTTCTATTTTGATGAATTTCCAACATTCCTCAACAGAAAAAAATTAGTGTAATAAACTTCTACAAACCTATCACTCAGCTTCAATAAATAGCAACTTGAGTCCAAAGTGGTTTCATGTGTATTTGAACTCAGTTTTTTTCCTGGAGTTGGCCAGCATCACTATTCCTGTTAATAATCTATGCCAAGACCATTTGTAACTGCACTCAAAAGGTCATTTTTACCCCTCTGAGATCCTCTCTCCTTTACCACTGCCAAAGTGTCGGCGGTAAGAGCGACCCCTCACTTTTCCAGCCTGTTTGACTTTGTCTTCTACAAGCCTGAAGCACACATCTGAAATGTGTAGCAGCATCCTTCCCAGCTTCAAACACCCCACTGTGCAAACCACAGCAGTGCCTCCTTTGGTCCTAAGGAGCTCTTGCAGGGTGAAGAGAAGAGGAGAACACAGACTACAGATACCACACAATTCAGTGCTACTCATTTTACTCTCTGGGGCCAAAGTGGCTCTCTTTTCTTTTTCAAAGAGATAAAAAAACTAGAGAAGGAAAAATATCAAAAGCATTGGCCACACCTAAGGTACCCTTACCCATGTCTTGGTACTGTTTTAATACTGTTAGAGAATAGGAATTTTCTTTTTCCAGAAAAAAAAGGTGAAGGGAAAATTAGCAGAAAGAAAACAAATGGAGAGAACACATATACGAGCTTAGATGATCGGGTTCCCACTCTAACACTCTCATTTTTGTGTAGGTGTGGAGAGCACGCATGCCTACACGTGTCTATACAGCCGAGGACACAGTGTCCTCATTTATTCACTCTCCACTTCATTCCCTGGGAGGGAGACTCTCACTGGACCTGCAGCTAGGCTGCTAGCAAGGAAGCTCACGGATCCCTCCAGTGCTGGGGTTGGAAGTGTGTGTGCAGCCACATCTGGCTCTGACGTGAGTACTGGAATCCTGCCTCAGGTCCTCATGCATGTAGTAAGTGCTTTATGGACTGAGCTATGTTCCCAGCGTCCTGACATTCTCTGGTTGGCTTCTATCCTCTTCACCTATGTACAAAAGAGGCCTTCCTCCAGCTCTGCTCACACTAGCTAAAACAACTACACAGAACTCATGGAAACAGTCAAAACTTACTTGACAGTCCAGTGCTGTTGATGTTTTGGTATTCACTATAAAAAACTGCTTTCTCAAGCATTCCTAGGAAAATAACAGCTGCAATCCAGAACTGGATTCTTAATATATCTTTCCAGTAACAGGCGGACCACATCAGCCAGAGGACACCATATAATATGTAAACAATACACATCACCATGTAAAACTGCAGGAAGAAAAACAGTGTTAGCCTCTGATCCTCCTGACTCTAGAGAGTTGATATCTCAGGAGCCTCCCCCACTCCATTTTCTCGTCACTCTGGAAGCAGAAATAGAGGGCTTGTCAGAGCATACCTACAGAGAAGTTATACTACTGAACCCTTAAAAATTCATTTGGGCCAGGTGACGGTGGCACATGCCTTTAACCTCAGGAGGCAGAGTCAGGTGAATCTCTGTGAGTTCGAGGCCATCCTGGTCTATAGAGCAAGATCCAGGACAGGCAGAGGCCATCCTGGTCTATAGAGCAAGATCCAGGACAGGCACCAAAAACTACACAGAGAAACCCTGGCTCAAATCCCCCCCCCCCAAAAAAAAATTCATTTGGGGCTGGAGAGATAGCTGAGTGGTTAAGAGCACTGGCTGCTCTTCCAGAGGTCCTGAGTTCAATTCCCAGCAACCACATGGTGGCTCACAACCATCTATAATGGGATCTGATTCCCTCTTCTGGTGTCCCTGAAGACAGGTCACTCATATACATTAAATAATTATTTTTTTAAAAATTCATTTGGAAAAAGGATGAGACATACTCACAATCATTAGAGGCCAGTCTGATGCAGAGATATATCCATGAGGCCCCACCATAGAAAGAGAAACTAATGACAGGAGAAGGGAGGGAGAAGAAGAGACACAAGAGTTAATTAATAATCAGGTTTTTTTTTGTTTTGTTTTGTTCTGTTTTTAGGTCTTTTGAGACAGGATTTCCCTGTGTAGCCCTAGCTGTCCTAGAACTTGTTTTGTAGACCAGGCAGGTATTGAACTCACAGAGATCCACCTGCCTTTGCTTCCCAAGTACTGGGATTAAAGGTGTGCACTATCATGCCTGGTAATAATCAGGTTTTTAAAAACATTTTAAACATAAGCTCATTTCTCCCTATCTATTAAAAAAGTATATTAATATTAAGCATTCAAAATAGGTGTATGGCTAACAAATCCATGTTTGAAAGACATGTTTTAAACAGACAATATAAATTCACATTAATGACAAAAACTATAGAACACAGAGAATGAATACAAAGGAGTTAACTATACCATTCAAATCCCAGACTGCATCTGTTTTTTCCGTTTTAATAGACACGATGAAAATATGGAAGCCATCTTTCTGGGTCCTGGCTACAACATCCTGCAAGAGGGAGAAGAAGCCTTTGTTCTTTAAACAGATCAGTGTGTGAGACACAGCTAGACAGTCAACATTTCTAAAGTTTTAGTAACTAAACAGATAGCGAGGGAAGGGATGGCAGGCAGTGGAAGAAGACGTTGCTGCCAATTTTTTCTTACCCTACACCCCCATCATCCCCATACCCAAGAGGGGGACAAATGTCCTCATCCTCAGTTCCTTCTACTACGTATACTGCCACATGTTTCCCTAGATTCTCATTCTATGTTTTCTTTAAGATTATCATTCAAAGCCGGGCGGTGGCGGCAGCGCACGCTTTTAATCCCAGCACTCAGGAGGCAGAGGCAGGGGATCTTTGTGAGTTCAAGGCCAGCCTGGTCTACAGAGCAAGATCCAGGAAAGGCACAAAGCTACATAGAGAAACCCTGTCTCGAAAAACCAAAAAAAAAAAAAAAAAAAAGATTATCATTCAAATATTTTTTTCTAGGTTAGTCTTGGTGGCACAGGCCTTTATCCCAATACTTAGGAGGCAGAGACAAGTGGATCTCTGTGGGTGGGTTCAATCCAGGTTGGTCTACATAAAGTTTCAGGCTATCTAGGACTATAGAGTGAGACCCTGTCTTAAAAGAAAAAAAAAACCTAATATTGGAATCCTTATCTTCCATCCTAATATTACCAAGCATTCTAACAAAAATGTTGTTTTTTTAAAAACTGAAAGGCATGAACCTGGTCTGATGGTGCATGTCTAGAATTCCAGCACCAGAGAAGTAGAATCAGATGAGTAAAAGTTCAAAACCCATAAGGGTTGGGGATGTAGCTCAGTGGTAGAGGGCTTGCCTAGCAAGTGCAAGGCCCCGGGTTCGGTCCTCAGCTCAAAAAAAAGAAAAAAGGAAAGAGAAAAAAGAAAAAAGAAGAAGAAAAAGAAAAAGAAAGAAAAACGGAGATGAGAGAGAAGTGAGACAATGTCAAAAATAAGTCTGACTTGCCAGAGAGCTTGAGTCTGAGGCCAGTCTGAGCAGACCATGTCACAAAACAAAATGAAATCACAGAATTGTTCCTCAGTCTCCACAAGGGATAGGCACCACCCCCAATAGGTACCAAAATCCTTGAATGTTCAAGTCCTTCATATAAAATGCCATGGGTTTGCAGTCTCCGTCTGTATACTTAGAATCATCTCTAGATTATTTCTATTACCTAATAGAATGTAAATACTATACAAACAGTTGTTATAGAGGATTGTCTAGGGAATGACATAAAATCAATATGGCACAGTCCACATCTGTGAGTACTTTCTTCCTTTCATTTCTTACTTTTCTACAAAATACGACAGTTTGTGCCAAGAGTCTGTCCTGTCCCAGCCACTGCAGAAAATGTCTTCCTATTAGATTTCTCTTTGGAATGGCCGAGGAAACATGTGAAGTCAGTATCTAAAAGCTAAATTTAAGCTGTCCTATGTCCAATTCAGTACCTGCACATAACTCCTCCCGAGCCTCTGTACATCTTACTCAGTCTGACTCTTAGTAATTCCCCCAATGCCACAATCCCCCTGCTGTGCTACACTCCTTCCTCACTGCAGGGTGACAGAGGCAGCCTACAGCTATGGTGTCCTGCACAATGAGAACTGGAATTGTTTTTTTTTTTTAAAGAAAAAAACTGGCTGCAGAGCTAGTCTTCAGAGAGATTTTTCTTAAAAAGCAGAAATAGTATATATAAAATATATATTGAAACAAAAGAAAATATACTGTTTTAAATAGTTTCTCTTTTTCTTTTCCAACTTTATAATTATCATTCTTCAAGCAGCCATCAGATTGAATTTTTAATCTCACTATAATTTGTGCATATTGGATTTAAAGACAAAAGGGTTTACCGTTGCTCCTTCTTGGCTTGAAACATTTCTGCTACCTGTTAGCTCTTTATTCTGGAAAAGAATAAAACAATACCATTCTATATTACTGCTGATGATAATCCATTCCAAACAATGGATTTATTGCCTAATTATCTAATTACAACAATTATTTAATAACAATCCATTCTAAATTAGAGAAAAGTAGTTTTTAACAATTAAGACAAAAGTGTTAGAAGAAAATAGATTTAAAAGTTGAATATCAGAGAACAAGTCTCATTGTACTCTGAACATGAATTTAAAAAGTTCTTCTTCGGGACTGGAGAGATGGCTCAGTGGTTAAGAATACTGGCTGCTCTTCCAGAGGACCAGGGTTAAATTCCCAGTACCCACACAGCAGCTCAAAACTGTCTGTAACTCCAGTTCAAGGGGATCTGGCATCCTCACACAAACATGTAGGCAAAACACCAACACACATAAAATAAAAATGATTTATTTAAAAAAGTGTTACCTTTAAAAAAAAGTTCTTCTGCTTAAAAATTGCTTCCTTTATAGTGTGATTAATGTTGGAGTGGGTACTGCTGTGGGATGGTCTGTATGTCAAATTGCTCTGATTGGTCAATAAATAAAACACTGATTGGCCAGTGGCCAGGCAGGAAGTAGGTGGGACAAGGAGAGAGGAGAATTCTGGGAAGCGGAAGGCTGAGGCAGAGAGACACTGCGAGCCACCGCCAGGACCAGCAGCATGTGAAGACACCGGTAAGCCACCAGCCACGTGGCAAGGTATAGATTTATGGAAATGGATTAATTTAAGCTATAAGAACAGTTAGCAAGAAGCCTGCCACGGCCATACAGTGTGTAAGCAATATAAGTCTCTGTTTACTTGGTTGGGTCTGAGCGGCTGTGGGACTGGCGGGTGACAAAGATTTGTCCTGACTGTGGACAAGGCAGGAAAACTCTAGCTACAGGGTACTGTCAGGGAAAGTGTAGGAAATGAGCAGGGGCTCTAGGTGCTAACATTCTGTACTTGGTTGAGACCTATAGTTCTGAAAATCACTGAGGCATATATGTCTACTTTTCTGTATGTTCATTATGCTTTTAAACACATTTTAAAAAGAACTTTACATTTTTTACTAAAGGCATTTTCATTTTAGAATTAGGAAAAAGTAAATTATAATGCTCCATAATCTTCCTATCCACTTACATTAGTTAGGATTTCTATTGCTGTGATAAGCTTTAATTCTATGATGCTTACGTAATACTCCATCACTGAGGGAAGTCAGGGCAGGATCCTGGAGGGAGGACTGAAGCTGAAGCCATGGAGGAACACTGCTTACTGGCTGCTCCCTGTGGCTTTCTCAGCCTGTTTTCTTATACAACCCAGGAATATCTGCCCAGTGATCCTGTGCCACCACCCACAATGAACTGGACCCTCCCACATTAATCATTAATCAAGAAAATGCCCCAAAGACTTGCCTACAGGCAATCTGATGGAGGCATTTTCTCAATTAAAGCTCCTCTTCCCAGATAACTCTAGCTTGTGTCAAGTTGACCTGCCCCCGGCAAAAAAACCCAGGATACCAGATATGACTGTTTTATTAACATTTATAACTCCACTTGCTGGGAGAGGAAACCAGCGCATAAGAATGTTCAGGTTGTTAAATGCTGGTGACAAGGCAAGACCTTTGGTAAGGGTAACAGATCACTGGCCTTAACAACATGGAGGTTACTGGTAACCTTGACTAGGGCTCATCTGACAGGATGCTGGGAGCAAAAGCCTGAGAACAGTGAAGAGAAGAGTGAGAGATAAAATGGGAGACAGCAGATCATAAAAACCTCTTGTAAGGTTGAAAAGAGAATGAACCAGAGGCATGGTGGTACACACATTTAATCCCAACAATCTGCAGGCAGAGGCAGATACATTTCTCTGAGTTCAAGGACAGCCTCATCTACATAGAGAATTTCAGGTCAGTCAGGGCTACATAATAAGACTATCTCCAAAAAAGAAAAAAAAAGGAAAAGAAAAATGAACAGGATACCAATTTCTTTCTTATATCCTAATGCACACATGCAAAAACTAAAACTAAGACTTAAAGACAAGCACCTTCCTTTCCGAAAAATACTGACAAAACATTATTCAAGCTTGGTGTTTGTATTCACTTCAATAAAATGAGTTGATTTTATCATGGCAAGGCAGATACTCACATTTAATGAGGGAAATGCCTGTAAATCACTGCTGCAATCTAAGTTTTCACTTTTTGTTGTCCAACAGTCAACGTTCTTGAAATAAGCACAGAAGTCCGCATCAGCATTAAGTTCATGTTTTTGGGACAGCTCCTATCCAAGGCAAAATTCTAGGTTATAATTTACTTCTACATTTTTTCCCAGAAGAAATAAAATTTCATATCTAAAAAATACCAAGAATTAATTTAGTTTGGAATATGTGAAAATATGTAATAAAATAAAATACCAAAGAGAAAAAAATACTGTGATTCTAAGTATAACCATTACATTTTAGCCATTCCAATGTGTTTGTACCCAGTATCAAGTACAATCATGGTGTTACTGTGAGGAAAGAGATTAAGATGTATGGGTGCATGACTGTTAAACCCAGACAGTTAAGACTGAAGGTTATTCAAAACTACCTTGGACACACAGAGAAACTGTCTCAAAAACCAAAACAGTAGCTGGAATTAGTGGTGCACATCTTTAATATCAGTACTGTGGAGATAGAGGCAGGTAGATCTCTGAGTTCAAGACCAGCTTAGTTAAGTTTCAGGCCAGTTAGGGGTCCATAACGAAATCCTGCTTTAAGACAAAAACAAAAATCAATGTGCTACCACAAAGAAATAGCTTCCAAAAAAATAAAGCATGCCCTAGGACTACTTCTACTTTATCCTCTATGTAAGAAATATTACAGAGAAAAGAGCAGAGCATTTAACTACAAAGAAGTAGAACAAAATGGTAAATAATGCAAAAGCAGCTAACCTAACAGAATACTTTGGGACAAACAACAGAGGAATAAGCGAAGCCGCTAACAGAAGCACCCAGTCTTCCAAGAACTGCCTCTCACAGACCAAACACAGGACAACTGGAGCAAAGAAAAAGATGAATTGTCTCTGGGACACACAGGCAGACTGTCTCAAACAAGAAAACAACAGCTGGGAATAATGGCACACACCTTTAATCCCAGCACTTGGGAGGCAGAGCAGGATGATCACTGTGAATTCAAAGCCAGCCTGGTCTACAAAGACAGTTCCAGGACAGACAGGGCTACACAGAAAGACCCTATCTTGAAAAAACAAAAACATAAAAACAACAACAAAAATTAACTGATTATTGCCTATAAAACAAAGTAAAAATTAATGTGTCCATACTGTTGCCTGGGATCAACAGAAAAAAAGAGAAGAAACAGGGCAGCTCATTCATAAAGAAAAAAATGCTAAGAAATATAAAAGAAAACTGGAAATAATAAAATCATTGTTTGGCAATTACAATTGACTTATAAGGCAAGACTCATAAAAGGCTGCTAACATGAACAGATAAGATATTTGATGGAAAAAAAAACCAAAACAGAACATTTTTATAGCTGTAAAAAAAACTGTCCCACACACCAACAAAAAGCAGTAACTCTACAGTGGAGGGATCACCAAATACTTCCTCTATCAACTGTTTGAGTTAACATCTCCAAACAAAGGACAACTCGATATTGTATGGAATGCCTGCTAAAAGTACCTACCTGGAATCTGATCATGAAGAAGCAGAGCTAGTTAAATTGAGGGACATTTTGCTCTAAATGAAAAGACAGCACTAATAAAATGGAAACCCAACATTACTCAGGATAGAAGCCAAACATATAATGGAGAAGCTTTCTAGGCAATCGTCATGAGACTCATCAAAGAGCACCTTGTAAGGGGGCTACAAGAAAAGCTGTTAGGGAATATTATTTTAAGGTGTATTACTTTTGTTTATGTTGTATTTCTTTAACTCTGTAAAGCTGCATTACTCTGACTGTCTAAAACATCTGATGGTCTAACACAAGAACTGAACGGCCAATAATGAGGCAGGAGAGAGAAATAGGCGGGGATGGCAGGCAGAGAGGATAAACAGAAGGAGAAATCTAGGAGGAAAAAGAAAGAGCCAGAGAAGGAGGGGGACTCCAGGGGCCAGCCACCCAGCTACACAGCAAGCAACGGAGTAAGAGTAAGATTTATAGAAGTAAGAAAACGGGACAAGCCCAGAGGCAAAAGGTAGATGGGGTAACTGAAAGTTAAGGACTGGCAGTAAACAAACCAAGCTAAGGCCAGACATTTATAATTAAAGAATACGCCTGTGTGTGTGATTTATTGGGAGCTGGATGGTGGGCCCCCAAAAGAGTAAAAAGAGCAGAAACAACAAAAGAGCGCCTCCCATCCAGGAGAGGAGAAGCCAGCCCTGGCACAGCCTCCTTCTTCTCTGCCCTTCCTCAGATGTCTCTACTCTTCTCTCCTCAGAGACTGGTGTGAACTCACGAAATCTACTCGTGCTCCTACGCAACTCATTGTTTGAAAGACGTGAAACTTCAATTTCCTTCTCAAATTAAGTTGACTTGCCATAGCCCTTTTATCAACGGCTCCTATAAGGCTGATTTAAACTTTTTTTTTTTTTTTTTATGAGATACCTCACAAGATTACAAAGCTTACAGTTTTGTCAAGAAGCAGACACTTCCAATGTGGAGCATCTCTCAAATGGTGAGCTCCACTTCCAGCCTCCTCACCCAGGGTGCTATTACATCTGTCCATTTTATAGTTTTCCCTTCACAGCGCTGAACACATTGAAGACTTGTTTTCACTTACCTCCTCCAGCTCAGGGTACTCATTGTGACAGGTATGGTACTTCAAGTGCCACTCTATGGTGAACTTCACAGGTCCAGAACAACTGAACGACTTCACTGTTCAGACAAAACACTTTTATTGTACATTAATAACAGTCTAGTATGAATTTGAGACTTCAAGAATACTGTCTGAAACTGGCTGTTTTAATGATAACATGAGTAAAACATTACCTAATTTCTCTAAATCACTGTAAAATGAGAAGGATAAATTCATTAAACTTTAACAGCTGGCCAGAACTTGCTACAGCTATTCAAATGTAAATCCAATGTAATCAACTGAGCATCCTGGCTTGTTCAGCTATGGCTTCTCTCGGTCTACCACATTCTCTCACTCACTTACTCATCCAAAACATGCTGAATGAATTCCTGCCTGTGTACCACGAAAGGCCAGCAGCTAACAAGAACAACTGCTTTTTATGAACTAAAATGCTGTGGGAGTTAACAAGTGGGTGCTCTGAGAAGCCCAGGAGGCTGAGAACAGGGCACTGGACATCTGACATGATCTAGGGAGGAAGAAAAGCAGGAGCTAATCAAGTGAAGAGGAGGGTAAAGAGATGCACTCCAGCCTAGTCTAAGTGTGAGCCCAGACCAAGGATGACTGCATAGATATGGTTCAAACAGACCAAGCAATCCGACCTTTAGTTTGAATACCATAAAGCTCCACCAATGCTTAAAGTTCTAGGTGGTATGATTAAGACTGAAAGGGTTAGGTCTAAAGCCAGAGAAAACACTTGTTGGGAATGTCTTATGCCACTACAGCTGGCTTCCCCAGAGCAAAGGATCAGGAAAGGGCAGAGAAGCCAGAGTATCTTTTTCAACATAGCCTCAGACATTTAAGAGCAACCCTGTAGACCATGGTGGATAATGAGTACCAGAAGGTGAGGAACACGGGGTATCATCTTAGAGGATAGTAACCCAAACAGAGCCCACAGATAAGGCTGATAGAATTTTAGAAAAAAACTCTACTCTTGCAAATAACTAAGCCTTAAATGAAACAAAATTCTAAAATTTTAGAATCAGTTTAAAAACAAAACATTCAGTGTTGTAGAATATTATTTTAACTGGGCAATGACATGTTGCATTTGTTTATGCTGCAGAATATTACCTTAACCATGTAAAGGTGTGTTACTTTTGTTTATGCCGCATTTGTTTAATCATGTAAAGCTGTGTTGTATTTGTTTCACCTTGCCTGCCTAAGGCACCTGATTGGTTTAATAAAGAGCTGAGTGGCCCATAGGCAGAAGAAAAGATAGGTGGAGCTGGTGGACAGAGACAATAAATAGGAAGAGAAATCTAGGCTTAAGAGAGAAAAAAAACAAACAAACAAGGAAGAAGGAGAGAATGAGGGTCACACTCAGGGCAAGAAGCCAGGCAGACACCAGCCAGCCAGACTTAGACAAGCAGTGAAAGCAAGATATACAGAAGTAAGAAAGGTATAAAGTCCCGAAGCAAAAGGTAGATAAAGAGAAATGAGTTAAATTAAGTCAAAAGAGATAGCCAGAAACGTGCCTAAGCTAGGCCTAGCATTCAAAGCTAATAATAAAACTCTGTGTCATGATTTAGGAGCTGATTGGTGGCCTAAAAGAAAAAGTCTGGCACAATTCAACTTAATGTATCTTATACTGATGTATATTATTGTATTCATTTATAATATATCAGAATTGTATATTAATATACTTACCAGAAAACTTGATCTCAGTAGAGTTAAACATAGTTTTTCTAAATATCAAAGGTCCTGATTTCTAAAGAAAAACAAATACAGAAAAATCTTAGTTAAAGCTCTCTTTCTCTATAGTTTAAATGTAGCTTTATCCTCTAAATACAGCACTCTACTCCTGTGACACTGATTAGAGTGGTTATATTTTAAAGCTTCCACATCTAGCCTTCAAGTTAAGACATTTAAAAAACGTAAAACTGGGGCTAGATAGATGGCTGGGTGGTTAAGAATGCCTACTGCTCTTGTAGAGGATTTGAGTTCAGTTCCCAGCATCCATTACAGCAGGCCCAAATCCTACAGACCCCAAATGATCAAAGCCGGCTCGCCTCTCCAGCAATGTTCGCTTTCTGGAGAACTCCTGCTGGTAGGACCTCAGCAGCAGACCTGAAAACTGCAAACCCCCCTCATGCTTTTCCTTCACCTGCTTAGCTCCTCACCTCAAGAGCCAGCTCAACATCCCATTGCTGCCTGGGAGTATGTAGCTAGAGAGCCAGCTGCGCGTGCTTCCGACCCTGGGTGTGCTCCCCAGGGACCCCATCCCTCCTTTATGCAGGCTCTAGCAGCCCCTGTGCCTCACAACATTAACCCTGATTCAAGTCAAACAGTTCTTCCCAAGAACAAAAATCCTGCAAGAAGGAGCCATGCTGAACGAAGAGCAGTGAGGAAGTGTTGCATCACCTTTTTTGGTAACCTTTTCCCCTCCCCAACAGTTTCCACAGTAACAAAACCAGCAGCCCAGATCCCTCCTCTGATCTCCAGGGCCACACACTCACGGATCTGTTCCACAGGCACGTTACTAACCTGCAGTAACCAGGCACACTCCTCTCGGTTCTCACCACGGTCTGCCGTGAAGATCAAACCCTCCTCCCTCCAGTCCCCCAAGTCATCACTCCCACTTCCAACTCCAACCCCCAGCACATGCCTGGTCACTGCGCATGCTTCCCACATGGAGCTGCCCCCCCCCCCCACACCTACCAACATGGTTGTCATGCTGCCCTTCAACATTTCTGCTTTGACCTCAACAGGACAACTGGTGCTTCTGTCTCCAGACCTGAGCCTACAATTTATCCTTAGGTGACAGCCAGAATAATTAGCAATATCTCTGTAATGGCTCTCTGTTATTCATATCCAAAACTAGCTACTGATGATCCCAGGGCCTAATCAAACCTCAAAATGTGGGGAAGGTGCATGTCTGGCCCATGATGAGCAATTAAAAAAAAAAAAATCCAAGTTAGGTGGCATAATAAGCATATTGCTTCGGGCTTTACTTGAAAGGAGTTCTGGCAATTCTGGGCCTGTGAACCAGAGTGTTTCCTCCTCTGGAGCCAAATGGCAGATGCTCTGTATAGCTGGCTTCAAACTTTCTTCCTGAGGGGAGAGGGCGGTCTAAAGCTCAAGAAGCTCACGAGGCTGACGAGGGTCCTCCCTGAAGTGACAGGAGCAGGGAACCACTGCTGGGGTGGAGTAGCTGCCTGCACATTCTATGGTGGAACTTCAGGGACACAGCTTTCAGTTCTCGCCCGTGCCAGGGGCACCCTTGTTCTTACGAGGAACCCCAATGTACTCACGGATTCACTAAGCTGGACTTCCAGAGTCCTTTCTTTCCTCTGTCATTGTTCTATTAGAAACAGTCTCAGAGGGAAAGTCGAATAACAGTTACCAGTTTCAAGTGACATGCTGTCCAAACTGAGCTTACTTCAGACATGCTCTGTCTTAGCTCTGTAGGTCCTAGAGTTTAAGGCTGAAGTCTAGTGAGGGAGGCCTATGGTGACCTTAGTCCCCAACCTTCTAGGATGTCATTCAACAAACACCAAGGATTACCCACACTGCTATTGTTCCACTCCTTTTCTTACAAAGGAGATCCCTATTCACCTTTTCAGACTAGCTACCCATGGCCACAAACCAGGGTCAGGCCGGCTCCACCACCAGTACTTGAATGCTCATATCCCAAGAATGCTATGGGCTAAGTGTCTACTCAGAACTGTGTTGTCCCCATACTGTGTCAGCTTCTTGAGAGAAAGCACTGTCTCTAAAATTCATCTCTGCAAGCGTAACGGCCAGCCTAGAACGTGGCACATGGCAGTGCGCAAACTGGTTTTTATGTCTCAAAGAACCTTTTATTTTTCTTTCGATGAATTCACAAAACAAGTGAAAGCCTCATTCTCTCTGTTCTAAAAGACAAATTCTGACAAGTTAATTTAAGAAGAAAATAATCAGCCTGCTTTTTGCAAAGAAAGGCTTGCTGATACCACTGGCCTGAGCTACATAGGAAATAAACTCAGCCAGACTATAGCACATTACAGTCAAGAAACAAGCTTTGCTGCTTGCCAAAAGACCCTGCCATTCTACCCCATGGGATTCTTACCATCTAGCGTATGCTTGGCAATGATCTTTACATACATGCTTAAGTAGAGCAACAGTGTTTGTGTAGTGTTTTTATTTTGAGTTTACAAACACTGGCTTAATCACATTCACCACAGAGGCAGCAGGAAACTGTGAAGTGTGCTTCAACAAACGTTGCCGTTTGATGATGAGAAGTTCAGCAATTGAGATGGGCAGCCCCTATCTATATATGTCTATATATAACACAGGACACCGACTCAGAACAATCTTAAAAGAAATGCTACACTGAGCCAGGATACAGAAACAAGCCTATATTTGATCCTCTGTAGTTTTGTGTTTGGAAGCATGTGCAGCTTCTGATATTACTTTTGGTTGAAGAAATACATAAATTTCTTCTTTAAAACTTGAACGTCGTTTCAATGCACCCTAAGCAGATCTGGGTGAGTCATCCTCTAGAGAAACTAGAGACAATGCCGCTTCCCAATATCCTGTCTCTTTTGCAAGACTTTCCATAATTCTACCCCGGCCATTTCCCCCACATCATCTCTTAACCACACAGAACGTTCAGTTCTCTAATGGCCTGCCCAGTTAAGGAAATTTTCATCCACCCAAGCCTCCAGACTCGCCTTTTAAACACTCCCTAGACACACACTTGCCCCGCCTACACACGTAGAAGTCCCTGAATTGTGATAGGACCGCAAAGGAAAATACAGAAACGCAAGTAAAAGAAAGGCAAGGTGACTGTACACACGACTACGGAGCACATTAAATGCACACTCTAACAGAAGGGCTAGACGAACCTCCCCGTGGCCTTGAGCATGTGGCCCCTGCGGCAGTAATCTAAGCCGAAGGGTTCAGTCCCAACGATGCCGCTGCGAATGCAGAGACTGGGGGAGGACTCTGAACAAATAAAGGCACGATCTAGACCCACTGTGTCAGGGCACCGTGACGGGCCAGGACGAAGCGGGCGGGGCGCCCCATGAACAGCAAGAGCGTTCGGAAGGGGAAGCCGGCCCAGGCACAACGGGGATCGCTCTTCCCCGAAGCCCACGCCGGGCAGAGCAGGGGACGCTCCTTTCCCAGAGCCCAGTCTAGACTGTCAGAGGACCCACTGCTGGCCCGACGGAGCGCTCGAGAACAAGCCCAAGGCCAGATCCCTGAGCGGGCGGAGCTACCCTGCCCGGGCCCTGAGAGCCTGAAAGGCGCCACGCCTCAGCCCCTCCATTGTACTTACGTCATTGACCGTCCTCGTCCAAAGCCCGAGCTCAGGGACGGCGTCCACAGCCGCCGGGGCCCAGCACAGGAGGCACAGGGCAACGCGCAGCAGCTGGGCCCCGGCGGGCAGGCGGCCGAGGAGCCCGGGAGGGAGCCAAGCCGAAGAGCGACAGGCGGCGGCCATCTTGACGCGGAAGCCGCACCTGAGCTCCCGGAACCCGGCCACGCCCCGGGGCCGCACCTGGCGTGGCTCCGCCCCCAGAGGGGGCGGGGCCCACGGCGGGAAATCGCGCTCGAGCCCGGGTGCGGAGGGCGTCTAGGGCTGAGGCGAGGAGGCGCGGGCAGAGTCTGGGAGCGGGGCGGAACCTGGAGGTGGGTTCCAGGGACAGGCCTGAGAGAAACCGAGGAAGCGTGGAGGGGAGGGAGGAGGGTCGGGAGAAGGACCTGCAGGCCCAGGGAGGGGGCGGGAGCCAGGGAGGAGGCGGGGCTGAGGGCTGAGGCGGGGCCAAGAGTTTAATTAGGGCGGGTTTATGGACGCGGGGCGTGGTCAGGAGGCGGGGCCTTCCCGGGAGAGGGGGGGGCGGGGGGAAGGCTGGACGGCCACGAGACTAAAGGGCCGGGTGGGCGGAGCTGGAAGCAGCCTGGAGGGGAAGCTTGAGTGTAGTGACATGGAGGCGGGGAAAGGAGCGGGGAGAGGAAGGGGAGAAGAAGAGGTAGGGCCTGCAGGGAGCCTAGAAAGTAAAGATCTGGTCTGGAGGATAATGGGACTCTTAATTAGGAGTTGGCAGAAATGAAGATCCCAGTACTGGGAGGTGGAGGTAGGAGGACAGTGGAAATTCAAAGACAGCCTAAGCAACATAGCAAGCTTGAGGCCAGCGTGAGCCCTTGTCTAAAAGCAAAACAAAACAACAGACCCCTTGTTAAATAACCATCAAAACGAGCTCTAAAGGAAAAAAAAAATCGTTTCCTGAGCAATAGTCAGATCCACCAGTAGGTGGCACTAGTAAGTTTTGATGTTTTATTTAAAGTTGAATCTTCCTAAGGTCTTTTTTCTCCTTATTAGATAACAGTTGCTAACTTCAGTAGCAGTTGCTGTCCATATCTCTAATTTACTTATTTTTAGTTAATTATTTTGCAGGCACATTCAAGTTTACAGTGAAATAGGAATTTATCTCTAGAGAGTTCTAACATCTCCTTGGTCTTCCCAACAAGCCTCCCCCACCTAAGCAACATCTCATGCTACAAGAAATGCCTTTAAAAGAGATCATTAAACCAGTCATCAATTCAGAACACCTGTGTCTTACTACTCATTAAGTAGCGCACAGTGGTACCAATTTCGAGTAATAGACTCAGCAGGGATTTTTACATTATTAAAGAGCACAGGGACTAGTGAGCTGGTCCATTAAAGGCACTTGCTGCTAAGCCAGACCGCCTGAGTTCTGTCCCTGGAACCCACATGGTGTAAGGAGAGAACAGACTGTGACATGTTGTTCTTGAACCTCCACATGCTCCCCGCTCAATACATAAATAAAATGTAATTAAAATTTTTAAAGAGAATTACTTTTGTTAATTATATGGTTCTCATTCTAGGGTCATTTCATTTCCAAGGAGCTGTGGTACTAACATTGCTTCTTTAAGTCAGGCTGCATTTGTTACCTCCTACATCCACAGCATTCTACCTGGATACGATCAATAAAACCTAACACACAGGAAGATCCATCAGTAGGCAGTGGATATAGCATTGACCAATGTACCCTGCCCTGGTTGGATCCCCGGCACTCCAGAAAGAGCTAATAGACAGAAGTTGGTCACATCCTGAGGTGTCTGGAGACATGGCTCAGAGGTAAGAGCACTGGCTGCTGTTACAGAGGACCAGCGTTCTCTTCCCAACACTCACATGGCAGCTCACAACCTCCTTCAGCTCTGGTTCCAGGGGATCTGTTGCCCTCTCTTCTGATGTCCCTGGGCACCAGGCACCCATGTGGTCCACGTTCATGCATACAGGCAAAATACTCAAGCACATGATAAAACAAATAAACCTAAAAGTATTTTTTATTTTAAAAGTCTATAAGTAACTTTTTTAAAAAAAAAAATCCTTATATTTTACAGAGTTCTTTGATTTAGATGTTTCTAGAAGTTGTCTCTGGGGTCAAGACTCCAAGTTTGTCAGGAAAGGATCGTAAACACCAATAAGTTAGCCTTGTGGGGCAGATACTGTGCCCTGAAATTCAGTCATGTGCTACAGTTCTAATCTCCAAATAAACACACAGAGGCTTATAGTCTATTATATTAATTACAAACTGTATGGCCGTGGCCTATGGCTCAAGCTTCTTGTTAGCCAGTTCTTATAACTAAACTCAGCCCATTTCTATTAATCTATATGTTGCCATGCGTTCCGTGGCTTTACCTGTGTGCCATTACATGCTGCTCCTTGGACAGCAGAATGTCGTTCCCTCTGGCTCTGCCTTTCTTCTTCCTGTCTCTCTCTTGGATTTCTTGCCTGGCTATATCCTGACTTGCCATAGGCCAGAGCAGCTTCTTTATTAACCAATCATTGCAACACATATTCACAGCATACAGAAAAACATCCCACAGCACCAGTTCCATAAAATGTGGATATTTACAGAAAGACATAATTAAAGGTGGGCCCTTATCCAGCCTGACCAGCATCCCTTACACAGGAGGAACTCAGGACACATTCACAGCCTGGGGAGGATACTATAGACCAAAGGAACAGTGACAAGCCCAAGGCAGGGTCAGCCCAAGGCAGAGGCAGTCAGAAGAACCTACCTGTGTCAACAGCTTTGTCTTGGACTTTCAGCCTCAACCACAAGGAGCTCACGTGGTGTCGTCCAGCCTCCTGCTGTCTTGTTTGTCAGTCATAACAAATCAGTCCAGACAGTGAGCAGATGTGACAGGGAATAGAACGGGAACAATAAAAACAAGATAACCATCCAGTCAGCTACCACGGTGGCAAATGGCACGTAATCTCAGAGAGACTTTGGATAAGTGTGTGAGCAATGTCCTGGAGTCACCTAACCAGGAAGCTGGATTGTGTGTGTGTGTGTAGATGGTTCCCGGCCTAGGACAGACTGAGAGTTTTTCACCTTTATGATATTACAGAAGCACCACACACTCAGTGCAGACTGTGTTTTGAATGTCTGTCTGTCTGTGGCTGGAGATGTGTGATGTGGTGTTCAATCTATCCATGGCTGGAGATGTGTGATGTGGTATTTGATCTGTCCGTGGCTGGAGATGTGTGATGTGGTGCTCTTTGGTGGTCCTGGGCAGCCTGAAGTCAACTAACAAAATGGAAGAAGCTCTGTATTGTGCTATGCTGCTGAGCTGGGCTGCTTGTAGGCCGGATGCATCAAATGCCTATCTTAATAGTCTCACTATATATCCCAGTCCTTGAACTCATGATGCCCTGCCTCCACCTCCTAAGTGCTAGAATCACAGGAGTATACCACCATATCCCAACTTGTTCTCTCTCTCTGCTTTATAGTGGAAACAATTTTATTTATTGGCATAGAATAAAATGAAACAAAAATTGACATTGTACACATACACACAGTGTGCTGTGAGTATGATTGCCCCCATCACCCTCTGTTGTCTCCCTTCCTTTACCTCTAAACTCATTTTCTTCCCAGTTAGTCCTCTCAGATTGGGCCCTTCAGTGGATACAAGAGATACCCATGGCACCCCTTCCTGAGGAGATAAGGAGTTGTGGACCGATAGGCTTACCTGCCTGCCTGCCTCCCTCCCTCTTGCCCACCCTCGCTCTCTCCCATCTCCCTTTTTGTAACTTTAGCTGTCCTGGAACTTGCTATGTAGACCAGGCTGGCCTCAAACTCATAGAGATCCACCTGCCTCTGCCTCCCAAGTGCTGGCACCACACCCAGCTGATGTAGCTGGGCAGAGAGAGAGGAAATGAGATGCAGAACAGAACAGAAATGAGATGCAGAACAGAAAGGCATATAGGCATATAGGCAGGAAGTAGGTCTCTTTGGAGACTGAGGAGTTGGTGAGGTGAGGGTGGCTGTGGCTTGTCCTATTCCCCTGATCTCTCAGTTTTCACCCCAATATCTGGCTCTGTTTTTTTTTTAATTTTTATTAATAAGATCATTTAGCAATTCGTCTTCCATCTGGCACCCTAATGTTTGTGGCACTAATTCACTGAAAAGCCACTTGTGACCTTGCAGGCCCCTGGCTCAGGCTGGAGCTGCGTGCAGTGGGAGTCTCCACCCCACGTGGATGGGAGTCTCTTTGGCTTCTCTCCTGGTGGGTGGTGGGCTCTCTCTTGGTCCCCATCTTAGACTGCTACCACACTAGGTAGCTGCCTTGAAACTCCCTCGGACTTCTGCTGTTCTACACAGTCGGCTGACTTGGTGAGTCAATTAAGATATCTTAAAAGAAGAAATTAGTTAAAGAGAATTTTTTCCCACATTAAAAAAATGGGAAACATTTTTATAAGGGAGGGAATTTGGTCTCTGTTTGAATACACATTAGGCAGTCTGAAAATGGAATAATTAAATGAGAGGATAATTAATGTTGATGGGATTTACATAACATCCATTATGAATATTATTTGTTTGATAATTTTTATTTTAGCATTAAAAAGGTTGGTAAATTTGAGTACCAAGATAAAAGTTTTTGAAAAACTTGTTTAAACAGATTATAGAGATATTCAGACCCAGACAGAAGAATTTAAAGGTGACCCTATCTCAGCATTGAATTATATGGTTACAGAGAAACAGCTTGTTTTCAAACAAACAACCTTAATCTACCCAGTAACCTTATAGGAACTGCCAAATGCTCAAGACTGTGTACAAGCTAACTGGATTCCTGTGGAAATGTTAGATTTGAGAAGATTTAAAGAAGCTGTAGTCTCATATGGTATGCATTCTCCATTTGTAA